TCTCAGAATTGTTTTGTGATCTGATTTCAGTTTTCAAGCTTATTCTTTCCCAAGTAAAAGCAAGTTTTTAGATTAATTATATATTTTTTCAGGTAACAGCGGCGGAAACACAAATGGGGAAGAAGGACCTGCAAAAATAAAGGTAGCTAAATCCTTTTATTTCCTACTAATATGTGTTTGGATAAAAAAAGTAGATTTAAATGCCATTTTATACAATAAATTGTGGAGAGCTAATACATAATTGTTAGGTTATTAAAGCATATTTTACATAAACTAGCTGGTCATTTATGTTTAGTTACCTATAAGGGGGGGGTGGGGGGGGTGGGGTGACAATCACAAGTGTGGCTGAACAGAACTGCAAATATTTTGGCTGTTGAAGCAATTCACATATACAGTGCATTATATATTTCACCTGTGTATATATCGCTCTTCTAGCTGGGGTTACTCTTTGAGCATGTGTGACTATACTGACATTCATAGACCATGGCTGTATGTCTACTAAGCACTTCTGCCCTGCCATGATAGCATGGCACATACTTCTGATATACAGAAACAAAGAAATATTGCTCAGGTTATGTGACATGTGGATGAGAAGCTATACCAGCTCAGCCAAAATCACACAACATCTTTCTGAAGTTTAAAACCTAGTGCAATCTGCATATTAACTTTATTATTATTATTATGTCCCCTGTTTAATGAGAACATTTAAATATTCTGAGAACCAGCACCTTTCACTTGTGCACTCTCCTAGAACTTAGATTGTGCCGTCAAGCCTAACATTTACAAACCAAGTAACATGATTCCCAGTCATGTAATCACCATGACAATCAATCGTGATGATCACTGGAAGTTTGTTTGCAAGTCGGCTTGCAAACACATTTCTGTGCCAGAAGAGGTCACTGTGCCCCTCCTGCACATAGTAGATAGAAAAAGCGAATCCGTTTTAGGAATCAGTTTATAAATAAATTTGCTCCAATCACGTCTAATTATTGCGTGCATAATGACATAGACAGCAAACACTTAACGGGCTGTGTTTCTTTCTCAATCAAATGCCAGTTAAAAACAAAGAAGAACGTTGCTTAGAGATGCACTTTAATCAGCTTCACTGGTTCAGTGGTTTAGTTCACGTCTGTTGTCTCTATTGAGTAATACTAACTGCCAGGTATTCTCAGTTTGTAGTGCTGTTTACATTGGCAGGGGATGGAGAAATGTGCCCTAACAATGGTGGTGAATGATAAATGGGCCCTTACATTGGTGGCCAGTGGAGCAGGAGCCCCTTGCATTGGTAGCCAGTGGAGGAGGGCCCCCATACCTTGGTGACCAGTGAAGAGGGGTCCCTTAGCATTAGCAACAAATGAAGGAGGGCCCCATTGCATTCACAGTCAGTGGGGAAAGGTCCCTGTTGCATTATCAGCTAGTGACGATTGCCAGGACATTGCTATAAAGGAGCTCAGACAGAGCTCACTTGCTTCCAGCTGCTCAGCTCTGGGTATGCCTGTGGATGTTTTCAAAGCAGTCACATTGACATTCCGCCTCCTGCTGCTTGTGCTCTAATGGCATTGGTCCCGGGCAGGCACTTGGTGCCAAGACAAGCGCTGTCAATTGTTTAATAATTAGGTATTCATCTCCTTGTGTGCAGCATGATCGGACAGCAATAAGGGGAGAGGGCGTGCTGCCAACCACATGTGACCATGTTTCATGTTACAGCCTGAATATGGGTGTAACAGGAAACATAGTATTAAAGGTAAACGTGGCCTTTAACATTTTTACACCAAGGGGCATTTTACATATGGACCTAGAAGGCCATATTGAGGTCACGAGGGGTTGAATTGCACTTAACGCATGGCTTACAGAAACATTACCGGGTTATAGAAGAAAGCTGTTACCTGATCACGTTTTCTTCTTTTATCATCACCAGCTTAAATGGAAATGTAAAAAAGAGGATGAGACGCGAGGGGGATATTCAGAAGATGTTCTGATGAGGCTTCTACGGAAGGTTTGTTAATGTCTACTATTGTATTCTTAGTCTTTCTGAGGTCGCATAAGCAAAACTTTTAAATGGTCATTGTATGCAAACAGCAATTAATGTTTTGCTAATCACTTTGCATAGTTTTTAGAATGCTTAGAATTATCCTTATTGACCGGTCCAGTTTGTAGGCGGTGTATTGGGAGGCTCTTCTGTTTAACCTTTCATATATTAAAATTAGAGCTAAATGTGTTTTTGAAAATACCAATAAATAGTGGTAAAGGTTAGTTATTATAAAGTCACCAATCCTCTATTTTCATTTTATATCTATGCTATATAAATAGTGTAATCCATTTATTCCTTCATTCTAAGACATTGCAAGGCATTTTATCAAGATTGTCTGTTTTGGGAACAGCAGATCGTGTGGGTTCACTGAATGATTGATGGTTTGAATCCCAATACACCAAGGGGAAGTTTATTAAAACTGAAGCAATTGCTCATAGAGTCAGCTTCTCTCTTCAGTCTGTTCAGTTAAGCTTGGAAACTAAGAGATGGGAGATAATTGGTTACTATGGACAACTTCTCCAGATTCTGTCGTCTCCAGTTTTGAAAAATTCCCCTCAAAGTGTATTGGAGTTGAATTAATTAATTGACTTTTCACTTAGCATAGTCAATAAGGGGAAGCCCTAATCACTGTGATCACTCACTCATCTACAAGTGAAATAAAAATAAAACAGGATTTTTTTAATTGAAATTAATACAGTTTCAGCTTATTCACTATGCTAAGTAAGCTTTCCTTTTTTAAAGAGAACATAATTTTTAAATGAACTTTCAATAAGTGAACAGTCTCTATTCCCGGTGCTCTATGGCACATATATTTATTTGGTGGTGGTTAATTGGTATGTGACAGGAAGGGCCTACGTGACTCATGTCCTGTTTGGATTGAAAATGTCTGCTAACCCTGAAAACTTCTGCCAACTGATAATACCTCTAAAATAATAACTTTACACCAGTCAGCATTTCAAGCAGTGTAAAACATCACTTAGACAGCGGCAGCTGCTGTACTAATTGCTTGACCAGCATGTTTGCCCCTATATTCAAGCAGATACAAATGATCCCTACTGATTGCACAGCGTTGTCAGTCTAATACCATGACCCTGTAGACGGTAGGAGCAGAGCGAGCAGATGGATGATCTCATCAGTGTGGTGATGCTCTTTTGTAGGGCACTAGGCTCAGGGAAGGTCAGTGACCTGAAAACGGGTGGAATATGGAATTCAGGATACCGCAGGATTCTTTTGACCCAGCTCATTTAACAACAACAATTGGAAACCTCAAAAGTTATGTTCAGATGTAATTTATATTAGGAAAGGAACATACAGCAAAACCTGCATAAATGTGTTATCTCAAACATTCACAGCACCATCACCTGTTTAGATCTGGGCACAGAAAGAGAACATTTAAAGATAGCGCATCCCAACGTTGATTGCCAAAGAAGTCAAGGGTTGCTAAAGGGATGCAATTTGTATATCTGCTCTTCCCTTAAAGGAGAACTATGGGGTTAGGGCTTTTCCCCATAGTTCTCCTAAGGGTAACAGGAGGACACAAACTAGCGTCCTCCCGTCACCCAAAGCTCAGTATACCGCGAGCTACAGCTTTAAAACAGGATTTTTTTAATTGAAATTAATACAGTTTCAGCTTATTCACTATGCTAAGTAAGCTTTCCTTTTTTAAAGAGAACATAATTTTTAAATGAACTTTCAATAAGTGAACAGTCTCTATTCCCGGTGCTCTATGGCACATATATTTATTTGGTGGTGGTTAATTGGTATGTGACAGGAAGGGCCTACGTGACTCATGTCCTGTTTGGATTGAAAATGTCTGCTAACCCTGAAAACTTCTGCCAACTGATAATACCTCTAAAATAATAACTTTACACCAGTCAGCATTTCAAGCAGTGTAAAACATCACTTAGACAGCGGCAGCTGCTGTACTAATTGCTTGACCAGCATGTTTGCCCCTATATTCAAGCAGATACAAATGATCCCTACTGATTGCACAGCGTTGTCAGTCTAATACCATGACCCTGTAGACGGTAGGAGCAGAGCGAGCAGATGGATGATCTCATCAGTGTGGTGATGCTCTTTTGTAGGGCACTAGGCTCAGGGAAGGTCAGTGACCTGAAAACGGGTGGAATATGGAATTCAGGATACCGCAGGATTCTTTTGACCCAGCTCATTTAACAACAACAATTGGAAACCTCAAAAGTTATGTTCAGATGTAATTTATATTAGGAAAGGAACATACAGCAAAACCTGCATAAATGTGTTATCTCAAACATTCACAGCACCATCACCTGTTTAGATCTGGGCACAGAAAGAGAACATTTAAAGATAGCGCATCCCAACGTTGATTGCCAAAGAAGTCAAGGGTTGCTAAAGGGATGCAATTTGTATATCTGCTCTTCCCTTAAAGGAGAACTATGGGGTTAGGGCTTTTCCCCATAGTTCTCCTAAGGGTAACAGGAGGACACAAACTAGCGTCCTCCCGTCACCCAAAGCTCAGTATACCGCGAGCTACAGCTCGCGGTATACTGAGACACCGCAGCTGAAACGTATCCCGACATGCATCTCTGGATCCTCCCAGCTGCGTGAGTGACAGCTGGCTCTGCCTATCAAGACGCAGAGCCAGCTGTACCCGCCTCCTCCCCCGTCCGTTCCACCAATCAGCACTGGAGGATCGGATGGGGGAATCCAGTCCCTCCCCTGTCACGGCTCTCGGTAGTGACAGGTTCGAGAAATGAGCAAACGCCGGTATGTGTTCGCTCACTTCCCGATCTCCTGCGCCGACCTGTGACAGTTTCATTGTCACAGGTCGGCTAGAACTATGAGGATGAGTGAAAATCACTTGCCTCCTAGTTCTCCTTTTAATAAGCTTTTAAGGGAAGTATGTCATTTAGAGGAGGCATGTAGTAAGAATTTGGGGTGGGAAAATGAAGAGGAGGTAAAGTGTAGCGAGGTGTGAAAGAGAGCAGGAAAAGATAGAAGGGGGAAGGTAAGGGAGAGAGAGAGAGAAACGGTGGGGAGGACAAAATAGGAGTCTCGGGAGGATAGTATTTTAGCCAATCAGAGGGCGATAAGAAGAGTAGCAAAGAGCTATCAAAATGTGGATCACTGACTGAAAACACATATGCAGCTCAGGAGTTTGACTTTATTCCCTTCTGCTGCTGCATGCTTCTTCCAAGTTGGTGATTTAGGAAGTACTGAATGTAGCCTAGGTGAAGTCTGACCATATGTTTGGCTCCCAGCACCTGTACCACATTCCCATTGAACACTGACCTGGTGAACTCCCTGGGTGCTGTGATGACCAACGCTTGCCAATCATCAGTAAACCTCCTGAAGATATGAAGATAAAAAGTATGTGTTTTGTTGAGTTATATCGCACAATAAAGCGCATGGCATTTCAGGGACGTACAGGACCCCTTTATCAAGGCCTGTGTGAGGTCCTGCAAGTCACTGAAACACTGCACACTCTTTTGTGTTTTTCATGCAATAGAGTCAAACTTATTTAACTTTGTTTTGGTGTGCGGACAGCATATCTTCACGTGGTTCCACACACCTTCAGAATGACCTTCAGCACGACCTTCAGCACCTGTTAGCATGACTGTCGGCAACATACAGTGCACATTTGTGTGCAGACACAAATAAAAAAATAGCAGACGCAAACAATCCACATCAGCGCCACAAGACCGGATTTGTAGCCCAGAAACACTTGTACAGGCACCACTACTGGAGGCAGCCCCGCTACAGTCAGGGAGACTGAATACACCTATAGAAAACAAAAGCCAGACAAGGCGCCTTCCCTAGTTTAAAACCTTTATTATAGAACATACATTTAAAAAAATCTATTGTACTCGCAAAGGAGGATATTCATAGAGCCTTGTTAGCTGCGTACTGCAGCAACAATCGCCATATTCGATTGAGAATATGGCCATTTGTTCCTGCAGTACGCAGCTAACAAGGCTCTATGAATATCCTCCTTTGCGAGTACAATTTAAAGGTTTTTTATTTATGTTCTATATAAGAAAGGTTTTACACTAGGGAAGGCGCCTTGTCTGGCTTTTGTTTTCTACAAATAAAAAATACCCTGTGTAGATATGTGGTGAGAATAGAGCTATGCCCCATTATCTATATGGGATTAATCTGAAAAATGAGTCCTCATAGCATTTGAATGTAGAGTTGAATAATATAATGGAAATTTATTTTTATGTATTCTTCTTTTAAACGCTTACCTTTTTTTTTTTCTTTGCAGTATGGCGAAGTATTACATATTGTGGTATCCAGCAAGAGCAAGGGATCTGCAATAGCTGAATTTGCTACATTTAAATCAGCTGTAAGTTTCATGAAAACTTTTTTATATGTTTTTTTAATTTTTCTGTATTTATTTATGTAGCTAGCCTATACTGAACATTAATCTTCAAACATACAACAGCTATACAGGGTAGGGATGTCACGATTCCCCTTTTTTAGGCCCAAGTACAAGTACTTCCCCTCATGTACTTGTCGATACCAATTACCGATATTTTTTTTTAAAGAGACAGGTGACTTTAAATGGTCCATAGTACAACTACATGTTATGTACTATGGCTCATGATTTAACCTATTCATGTTAGCAGGGGAGAATTGTAAATCTATTGCTGTAGTGTAGTGGAGGTGTGTGTTGTATATATGTACTACATATACAGTACACACGTCCAGTACACTATAGCAATAGATTTACAGCCAGCCCCGTCCTAGCTTCCCTCACTCACAGTTTCACTCCGATCCCTGTTGCCTCTTGTAGTTGGCGCTGGGCAGGATCGCTGCATCGCGCCTCGGTGCTCAGCTTGTGGGAGGCGCTCCCAATTCTGCCCTGCTAACATGAATAGGTTAAATCATGATCCATAGTACATATATAGCACACATGTCCCGTACACTGCAGCAATAGAGTTACAATTATCCCCTGCTAACATGAATAGGTTAAATGGTCCGTAGTACATAATAGTACATAACATGCATTTGTACTACGGATCCTTTAACCCATTCATGTTAGCAGGGGATCATTGTAAATCTATTGCTGCAGTGTACGGGACATGTGTACAGATAGAATGCACTGCAGTAATAGATATACAATTCTGCACTGCTAACATGAATGGGTTAAATGATCCATAGTCCAATTGCTTAATAGGGAGCCCCCTTGCCCTCACTCACTGCTCACGTTGTGCGGCGCTGTGCGGTAGAGCAGCGACGAGTCACCGCTGGTCCGGTGGGAGGAGCTCCAGGTGGGGTCCTAATTTAGCTGGCCCAGAGGTGCCTGCCATCTGGAATTCCTCCCGCCGGACCAGCGCTGACTCGCCGCTGCTCTCCGGCACTGAAGGACCTCGAGGAGCATCGCGTCACTGCTGCTCTTGTGGGCGGAGCTCCAGGTGGAGTCCTCTGGGCAGTCGCCGGCCACCTACATTAGGACCCCGCCTGGAGCTCCGCCCACAGCAGTGATGTGACGCTCCTCCGCTCAGCCTGACCAGAGGACCCCGCCACGAAAGGTAAAGTAGAAAAAAAAGAAAACAGTGCAAGCTTCGGCGCTATGCATCGGGGCATTTTGACAGTACAAGTACTTGTCAAAATGCCCTGTATCGGGCCCGATTCCGATGCTAGCATCAGTATTGGGACATCCCTAATACAGGGGATGTAACTATTACTGGTAAGAGGTAGAGAGCTTAAAAGGATGTAAGGCTTATAAAAGAATATTGGATATTTAATAGGGATGTACAGATATATCGGCCGAAAATGGCACTTTTGGCATAATGTCGAAAGTGCCATTTTCCTGCCGATACATACCTTTCCTCCCCGCTGGGCGCTGCTCTTTGTCCCAATGGGGAGGAGAGAAAGTGACAGCCGGCCGAGCGTCTCCTCCCACACCGCTCTACCGCCTATCACAGTCCGACAGAGCGGTGTGGGGGCGGAGACCGCGCTGCCACATGAGGCTGGGCTCTCCTCTCTACACGGCTCGATCAGCCTCCTGTGACAGTGTGTGACAGAGGAGAGCAAGCTACAAACACTCAGCGATCAGTGATCGCTGAGTGTTTGTACATAATTGAGGATATGGTATGTTAACTATAGCCTCAATTATGAATGAATGGGAGTGATCTACATCACCCCCATTCATTCATAATTGTAGTTATAGGAAACACACAATGTTCTCATTGAACAGGAACACTCATAAAGGATTCCTGTTCATTGATAACAGGGGACACAGAAAAAGAGATTGAGGACTCTGTGTCCTCAATCTCTTTTTCTATTTTAAAAGGGAAATATCAGTGGTCTGTTTAGACCCCGAAGCCCCTAAAAGTGAAGTAAAAAATACAAATATTTAATAAAAAATGAATTAAATAAAAATAAATATAAAAAATTAAATATTTGAAAAATGTGAAAAAATTAAAAACATTTTTGGCTTCGGTTTCGGCCTGACTTTTTTTATTTCCGTTTCGGTGCACCTCTAATATTTAAGTCTTAAACCATAGCTTATCCGGGAAGGTCTATGAAGAAAAAAGCCAAGCATGCACAGTAAGGTCTCGTTCACACCTAGGCGTATTGCATATGTGCGTCTGTCGTGTGTTTTTTTTACCGCGATTCGCTGTAAAAAAGTTGCGCGACCGTCGCGCGTTTCCAAAGGCTACTTGGCTGTATCCCAATGGAAACGCGCAACAAAACGGCCCAAAGTAGTACATGTACCTTTTCAGGCGTGGACCGTTTTGTAGCGCGTTAGGGACGGGCGGAAATACGCTAAGGTGGGAACGAGACCATTGAATACAATGGGATTTATATTTTTGAGCGTTTTGTAGAGCGTTCGTCGAGCGTAGAACGCGCTACAAAACGTTCAGGTGTGAACGAGGGCTAAACCCAGTCCGCTGTCTCAGGATGTTCTAACATGCCAAAGATTACATTTGTAAAGTTGCATACAACTTGTTATTATACTATTATATACTTGTATCTGTTTAACTGTCTTTTCTATTTTATTTGAATGTTTACATTTGACCACAGTCAACAAATTTTGTGTTTTTGTCCTCATAGGAACTAGCCGTGAGGAATGAGGCTGGCTTATTAAATAACCCTCTTAAAATCTCCTGGCTCACCCCACCACCCCCCTCAGTGTCGGACAATTCCAACAGGACTACCTCAGATTCTTCCACTTACTCATCACAGGTAACCTGGGCCTGTTCTTTTAGCTGGTGATTTTTATACTGAAGCCTATGCTGAAACACTTCATCTTAATTTACGTTTTTATTGTGAAAACCACAGATTGGCCTCTTTCAGCCACAGTTAGCCAAGACCTCTTGGTGTGAGGTACACAAATGAAAGTTTAGTTTTTACTAAGAAGAATAAGGAATAAAACCTATAATAAGAAGGAGCTGCTGTGTGTCAGGGACCGGTTCCTTTTATACTTTTCATTTGTTATGTATCGAAAAGTGAAAGGTACAAACAAAGAATAACCGCCTACTAGAAACAAAATATTTGCAGTGTCTAGCTTAGAGTTACTGGATATAGATGATGACATTTTATTGTCTGTACCCCAGGCTTCTTTCGGCCTCTATTAGTCGAATCTTAATGGTGTGAGGTGTCTGACTTGGCAACAATGTGAATGCTCACCAACTTGTATTCAATTACTTTTTTTTTTTTTTAATTGCGGTTACTTTCAAAGTAGCCACATGGACAATAATAGCAGATTTTTCTAGTTTTATATATACACTATATTGCCAAAAGTATTGGGACGCCTGCCTTTACACACACATGAACTTCAGTGGCATCCCAGTCTTAGTACGTAGGGTTCAGTATTGAGTTGGCCCGCCCTTTGCCACTATAACAGCTTCAACTCTTCTGGGAAGGCATCCACAAGGTTTAGGAGTGTGTCTATGGGAATGTTTGACCATTCTTCCAGAAGCACATTTGTAAGGTCAGGTACTGATGTTGGACGAGAAGACCTGGCTCGCAGTTTCCGCTCTAATTCATCCCAAAGGTGTTCTATCGGGTTGAGGTCAGTACTCTTTGCAGGCCAGTCAAGTTCCTCCACCCCAAACTCACTCATCCATGTCTTTATAGACCTTGCTTTGTGCACTGGTGCGCAGTCATGTTGGAACAGGAAGGGGCCATCCCCAAACTGTTCCCACAAAGTTGGGAGCATGAAATCGTCCAAAATGTCTTGGTATGCTGATGCCGTAAGAGTTCCCTTCACTGGAACTAAGGGGCCTAGCCCAACCCCTGAGAAATAACCCCACACCATAATCCCCCCTCCACCAAACTTTACACTTGGCACATTGCAGTCGGGCAAGTACCGATCTCCTGGCAACCGCCAAACCCAGACACGTCCATCAGATTGCCAGACAGAGAAGCGTGATTTGTCACTCCAGAGACCACGTCTCCACTTCTCTAGAGTCCAGTGGCGACGTGCTTTGCATTGCACTTGGCGATGTAAGGCTTGGATGCAGCTGCTCGGCCATGGAAACCTATTCCATGAAGCTCTCTACGCATTGTTGTTGTGCCAAACCTGAAGGCCACATGAAGTTTGGAGATCTGTAGCTATTGAGTCTGCAGACAGTTGAGGACTTCTGTGCGTTGCGAGCTTCAGCATGCGCTGTCCCCGCTCTGTCATTTTACATGGCCTACCATTTCGTGGCTGAGTTGCTGTTGTTCCCAGTTGCTTCCACTTTGTTATAATAACACTAACAGTTGACCGTGGAATATTTAGTAGCAAGGAAATCTCACAGAACACCTGAATCCAATGGTTTGGAGGGGTGTCCCAATACTTTTGGCAATATAGTATATATATCAGTCCATATCTTGACAACTATATTCCATTCTGTATTCTAAAGAGACAATGTTACATTCTGATTCCTGTTGGTGTTTTCTTTTTTGAAACCTTTACCCCCACCCCTATTGTGAACCCTTCTCCCAGCTGTCATTTCCACCCATAAGTAACGCTGTTCTAGATTCACAAATGAAATGTCTTAGGACACTTCATTCATGTCATTGCCACTGTACTGCTGCTGTATGACCGTCCCTAGCTGCCATAGTTGAATCACGTTTTTTTAGCACAAATTAAATGTCACCTTACATTTCATTAATGTGCAGGAGTGCAGTGTCTGCTTTGTTGTTGACAAGGTTATCTCTGAGTAGACCTACAGAAAGCTAGGGAAATTAAACATTGAAGAGAAAGGTTCTAATAATTAGAAAAGGATGGCACAGAGAGAGAGGCTGAAAAAATGTTTGCAGCGAACAGGATGTTCAAGAATAGGATTAGAGAAAGTGTCCCGTCCCCTTTACACATTCATAGGGTATACACTATAATAAAACTAGAGGACTGTCAATACCCACAGGTCTTACATTGGGCATCTGAAGGGATCGGAGTTTAGGTATTTGTCATTTTTGTGGTACCCATTACCTTTGCCACCACTTCAAGATAATTTGATGTAAAGGTGACTAATTTTATTTTTGGTAGGAGACCGAATGGGCTTATAGAGGACTTCCCATGTTTTGTTTTTTGTGTGCAATTTTTAAGTAAATTCTGTATATTCCCAATCATGACCTATGTAAATCCCAGAGTCCTTTTGTGCTTTAGGGCAAGACCACTAAATGTGGTACATTGCGAGTCTCCATACAGTCAGAAAACTCTTCTATATAATCTGAGAGAGAGATCTTCTCCCCCCACACAAGGGTAGTTATTTAGTGGCAATCTGACCATGAAAGTAAGTATCTGATATGTTGTTGTCATGGTAAATGCCCCCAATCCACTTTAATTTTGATAAATTATTTGACATTTATTTAGTTTCATGAAAATGCATGCCACAATAATAAGTGACTTCATTTCTTTGCAGAATTCTGTACGATCAGACAGAGATTTTGAAAGTTTAGTGTTAATGAAGATAAGACGGGAAGCAGAACGTCAGCGTCTTATAGAACAAATGCTGCGTGAAGACGAGGAGGCCTAAATTGTTGAAGCAAAAATCTGATTTTCCCTTTTTTATGTACAGTTTTAAATTAAAATGTTATTTTTTAACTGCTTTACTTTGTAAGAAAACAACTTCCTGTACTTTTTAAGCTTGTTTTTCAGCCTTACAAGAAATATTAGGTGTATGTAAGACTTGTTAAAATTCCAGATCCAGGCAGAACTACATAAGGGTGCTGGAGGACAGAGCAGAGTGATGGCCTTATCAGTGTTGTGTCTCTTCTTCATTGTCTAGCCACAGGCTGGTTGGTGACTGAGCTATATGTAAGACAAAATCAATTTTTTCTTCTATCTCATTGTTTAGTGTATAGAAAATCCTTTACCCCACAAAAATGATGAGATGAGTAGGGTGAATGCATACTTGTAACACCTAAATGCATAGCCTTATATTTTAGTCCCCAACCCACTCTATTTTGTCAAGGTCTTCCTGTAATGCTGCTATGTTGTGTGTCAAGTTTATTAACCCACAAGTCTTGGTATCGTCAGCAAACACTGAAAAGGGGCTATTATTGCCAACTTTAATCTCGTTAATAAAGAGGGTAAACGGCATTGGCACTAAGACAGGACCCTGAGGCATGAGCTATTTACAGTATCAATACTCTGTGGGCACGTTCCTGTAGCCAGTTCTCTAGCCATGCACACACAATTTCATCAATGCTCATAGACCGTAGTTTGTAAATTAAGCATTTATGGGCTACTGAATCAAATGCCTTTGCAAAATCCAGATGCAGTACCTCAATTGGCTTTCCTCCATCTAAATTGCTGCTCACCTCCTAGAATGTTAGGTTGGTCGGACAAGAACCTTCCATTCAGTAAGGATCCTTGAAAATGAAGTACAATGATCTCGCTGTAACTTGGCTTAGCTCTCCAAGTACCTGCAGGTGTAAGTTATCTGGTCCTGGGTATTAATTAACATGACGTTTTTGTAGTCTGTTTTGAACAGCCCTGCATACAGAATGAGGGATCAGAGGTTTGAAAAATACAGTCCTGCATACAAAATGCAGAGATGAAAGGGTTGTAAAATTCAGCCCAGGATACAGTATGCAGGGATCAGAGGGTTGTAAAATACAGTCCTGCATACACAATGCAGTAATTAGAACTTTGTAATATACAGCCCTATATACAGACTGCAATGATCAGAAGTTGGTAACAAACAGCCCTGTTAACAGAGTCAACCCAACCCAGTGTTGGCCGTGGCCGCTACGAAGAGCAGCGTTGATTCGACCCTGAGAAGGAATGCACTGTGCATTCTATCACGGAAATAACCGTCTGCCAGTACGTCACCATAGAAATCCATGGCACTGCAAGGTCAATCCATAAAAAGAAAGGGAGACCAAAATGACAGCTAACAGCATCCACCCGTCTCTATCAATGGGGATATTAAAGTAGCCATCAAAACCCAAGTTATGTGTAAACCACAGGGGCAGCCTGAACACAAAGAGTACAATATGATAAAACGTAAGATAAAACATGAATATGAATACTTATATGTTCATCCCTCAATACAAATCCAAGTGTAAAAATCTGCCCTCTATAACTGTTCCTTAAATCTTTGCTTTCATATGTTTCAACTCCCACAGTATAAACATTTATATATCACACTTGCTAAGCAATGTCCATTAGAAAATAACAACAATATATTTTAGCCGGCGCATACAGTATATATTAAAGATGGGCTCGTTATTCGAGTCGAGCAAGAGTTTGACTCAAACATCAGCAGTTCATGTGTTCGGCGAACACACGGACTGTCAGCGTTCGGCGAGCTGTTCGCCTGCCGAGTGCCCCACAAGGTGCTGTGCGTCACACAGTGCCTTGAGAGCCCTGATTGGCTAAAGCCTTGCACCTGACCACAGGTACAGTACTCTGTAAGAACCATGATTGGGCAAAGTCATCTGTCAGAATGCCATTCTGCGGCGGGAGTTTGTCACAGGTGGGCGTGCGTCTTTTTTAAAATTATTATTAATTCTATTTTTTCTTGTTTTAATTTTTATTTCGTCGTCGTGGACAACGCTGACCTTCATGATTGACCCTGGATTACGTTGGTGGATCCATTTTATTTTATTTTTAATATAAGACTTGTCAAAAACCTGTCTTTTGTTTTATTTTTTCAATGAAAGGATTTTTACAAAAGTCTGCCCAGTCAGGTCAGCTTGGCTATTAGGTTTTATCCACAATTTGCATAGCAGGGGAGGCCGACTGCGCTGAAATGCCAGCATCCAACCTCCCTTAAGTAACACCCTGTTACAAGTTCATAAGCATTATTAAACACAGGTACTCAGATGGACCTACATAGTTAAACATCAGGATGGAACCTATATGATGGCATAGCTGTCGATAATATATTTTTGGCAAATAATCTACCACACATAATCAATAAACACTTATGCAGCAGTCTCCTACAATAGCAGGATTCCCCTTACTAGGGATGAGGCCCAGATTTGCCCAAATATAAATTTAGTGGAATGGGTGAATTTTTTCAACTGCCCATAATGCTCTGTGCGCCCTTTTACTCTGGCCCTCAAACTCAGAAGAGCCAATAATACGAGCGATTTCCTTGATTCCTCACTATAAATTGAAGTTGCTGTAGGAAGAAGATGAGGAAAGCTGACAAACTGCAGCTGGAGGGGTTAGGAACTGATCTAAAGAGACTTTATTTATGTCAATTGCAGTGGTGGGCTCTTGTGTGCCCCTGTGTTAACAGTCCTTCACTTAACCCGAAAATCCAGCAACATGTTTGATTACAAGTTATTTGCCCATCACCCCCCTTTCTGCCTTTTTTTTATTTGGGGCTTTTTTAATTGTAGTTGTTTTAAAGGGGAATAGGATACTTTGTTATACGCGTATGTCATCCACCGTTAAAATCAGCCAGTGTCATATGCAGTAATCTCCTCATACAGTAATCACTTCCCCTTCTATAGAAGAAAATCTTACATATGTGTATAGTTCATGGTCATGTAATGCTAATACAGTCATTGGGATCATTATACTTTACAATGAAAATACAATGATTCCCTATAGAGAACCGTTGTCCATGGTGCTGAATCCGTGTTTTCACCTGCACACCCTAAAACACTGAAAAATTACAATAATGTATATTACCATGTTTAACATTCACTGAGAGTACATGGTTGCCAGCGAATGTGCAGCCATTCCACACAAGTCAATGTTTCTAGGTAGGCTGGGCTTATATTTCTTATCTGTCAGCTCTTTTTTTGCCATCTTTGTTTTCTTCGGGAGATTTTATTTCACTTCCTGTCTGATAACCACAACAGGAAGTGAAAGGAAACCTTTTCAAAGAGAGGGAAATCCCTGGTGGTCAATACTAGTGTCGCCATTCCTGTTCTGATGACAATCCAGAATTCGAGATTTTCTTTCCTTTGTGATAATAGTCTCTAGGACAGAGAAGGTGAATCTCCCTAACGGAGACACAGACTGCAATAGAAACCTGACAGCTGTTCTAATCCCTCTGCACTTTATCCAAAACTAAAAAAAAAAGAAGTGTTGGGTTCAGTTACACTTTCATGATGTTCTATAACACTGTTCTATAATAAAGTCCCAGTGTTCCTCAATACCCAATATGTCATTTATACCTTGTAGCTTAAAAGAGAACTATGGGGTAACCTTTTTATCCCATAGTTCTCTTATGGGTCACAGAAGGACATATACTATCGTCCTCCCGTGAACAAAAGCTCCGTATATAGCGGGCTATAGCTTGCTATATACTGAGAGCGCCGCAGCCAGGACGAATCACAACAATACTGTCGAGATCCACCCAGCTGGCTGGTATACTTGCAGCACCATGGCTGATTTAGGACATGTGAAGGAGGCCTTAGTGTAGTGTTTCTGGACTTTTATTTAGGGTTGTACCCTTTCTAAATGCCATGGCTTACAACGCACTCCATACGTAATTTTCCTTACTAACCTTGACATGTACAGTTATTGCCACTTGTTTCCAACTATGTACAAATTCTTTTCAGACAAGACCTCATGTATTATAATAACTCACTTGCTCTTAGTTTATGTATGTTTCATTTATTTTCTGATAAAACATTGTGGATCAACACGAACTCCTACCCCTCCAAAACCCTAATATAAAGAAGTAGTCCCGGGCACACCAAGGTCCCATGCATCAATCCATCCTTTTATTGACATCAGATACACACAGCATCACAAGCATAAAGCAACGCTTTGGAACCTAACATGGTCCCTTCATCAGGCAAAAAGCAAAGTGACTTTATACTTGGATCTGTACGGTGCCATCTGCTTCTCACCCAGCACCCTTCCAGTATATTACTAATGGATTCCGGTCTGGAATGCAATGGGACACTTGTAAATTGTGGACCTCCAAAACTCTAAAAGGTACATGTAGGTATGTTGAAGTGTTCAGTCTTCTCCTATAGAATATATGTAAAATACTTTTTTCATACAGCAGGCTTTGCTTTCTAATATGTTGGTATTCAGCAATACATAGCGACTTGGCAGATATGTGCTTTCCTCATCCTGACAACACTTAACTATTCAAAGCTAGGTTTCCATGGGCTATTCTATCTCATTGCTCTTTGAACTGTTCATTTAAGTACTTAAGACGAGGTGACTAAGGAGGAAATGTAAATTAAAAAGAAAGTCACATATGTAAATCAGACTAAAGGAATATAAAATCGAGCAGTCAAGAAAGGGACTTTACAATTGCACAGACCTAAACCCTCAGCCACAGGGCACTAATTAACACTGGCAGTATAATTATATTGTTGTGGTGCATTTATGTAATACATCCACCATTTGCAACATGGGAGCAATGTCCAGACTTGTGAACATGGAAGATTCTTCATTTCAAACTCGGCAACTCCATCCATTACTGATCGGAGTGAAGAGCTGTTCGGGAACATGGCAGGATGCTCTTCACATGGCATCTGAAGCAGTCTTTTGGTGCTTGTGAGACACACCACGCCTACTCCTTATGTAGGCACCATACAAGAGTCTGCCCAACTCCTGTCATACTGATGACGCGGTATCCTAAACTCTCAAGCTTGTTCAGTGTCACACGTGGGGGCTCATTTACAAAGTATTCTGCACTAGAAGAAACAGAAAAGAGAAGAATGCATGAAATCACATTTTGTTCAGCACTGGATATGTATGGTATTTTATTTCAACAATTAATTATCACAGATCTGAAGTGGGGTGTCTAGAACAGTGCTTCTCAACCTTTTCCCCCCCCCCCATCATGACACCCTAAAAAAGTATGCAACATCTTGAGGAACCCCAGTCTAAAATGTGGGGGGGAGCCCAAGCAAAAACACATGACAAAGTGGGGTTCCATCCTCTGGATCAAAGTCCTCCCTTCAAATCAAGAGCCCACTTCACATCAAAGCCCCCTTTCACATCAGAATTCTCCCTTTAACATCAGACTCCCTTTTACATCAGTAGCTCCCTTTCACATTAGAAGCCCCCTCCTTTTAAATTAGAGTCTTACTTCTTTCACATCAGAAGCCCCCTTTACATCAGGAGCCCCCCCCGTTAACATCAGAGCCCATCTTTTCATATCAGAAGCCCCCTTCACATCAGGAACTTCCTCCTTTCACATCAGAAGCCCACTTCACATCAGAAGCGCCCGTCACATCAGGGACCCCCTCCTTTCACATCAGAAGCCCCCTTTACTCCCCCCTCTCACATCCTTTATATCAGAGTCCCCCCGTCATGTCATATCAGAATCCCTCCTTTTACATCAGAGTCCTATCATTACAAAATTTCGAGGCACCTCTGAGAAAACCAGAAGGCACCCCAGTATGCTCCAGGACCCTGGTTGAGAAAGGGTGATCTAGAAAACTACGGTCTCGAGTTTGTCCTCCAGGTCATGATGGATGCACTTACAAATTATTCCCAAGCACAGTTCTCCTGGCGGCTCCAAGCTGTTCCATCAACTCCGGATCAGAGCTTTCATCTCCAACTATGGTGGGGCCGATCTCCTAAGTGAGACACAATCCTTATTACTTTGCTGTGCACTTCATATACCTAAAGTTGTCAATCACTTTCTATTGGCTTCTTAATCTAAAATCTATCGCATTCAATCTAAGAATACGATGGAAATGTCTGGATCTACTGATTGTTGTGAAATGTGGCTTTCAATTACGGAAACCTCTGCCTAGGTCATACACCAAGTGCCCAAAAAAACAGAAACCCAGCTCATTGTTTCCATTTGTATATGTGGAAACACATAGACAGAGATGAGCAGAACAAACTTTATTTATATGCTTGCTTTGCATGTGGATAGATTGTTGAGCATGGGCACAATCTGACCACAATGCATCACTCTCTTTGCGGTATTGTTTATAACATCAGTGGATGCAGTTATGCAAGCACTGGTTGATGACTATAGAAAAAAGGTATCTGATCAAACCTCACTTCCATTGCAATGGTACATTTAAAAGGAGTTGTAATGTCCCACCATATACTATTTTGTTATAACATCAGCATTGCAATAAGAATAAATACTAGAGTTGGTTTTCATAATGCAATCAAAGCTTACTTGAAATAATCACTTACGTAGTGAGTACTGCCTTCTGTCTGCCCATCACTTTCAACAACTTTCCAGATTCCCAGTGTGCTTTGCATCTCTTACCCTGCTGCTTGATGTGATACAATCTTGATTTCTCAAGACTACATAGCCCATAATGCATTGCTTCGAACAGGCAATGATAACGTTACATTGTTTAGGCAGGCTCTGTAAGAGTTGTGACACAAGGAAGTCCATATTCACAGGGCTGACTACATATTGTGTCAGTGCTCTGAGGAAGTACATCCTATGGCCCTCTTCATTAAGTATATTTACAAACTTGTAGACGGATATGGTTATTAAGAGCGGGATAGAACGTATGGAAATTCAATATAGAAATACAGATTTATTTTTAGTTTTAACCATAGATACCCTCTAATGTCTTCTGAGACTTTGAATGTCGTTTTCTGCCTTCTTCTGTGTTTGTAATGGCTTAAGCAAGAATAAATGTCATAGAAATACAGATAACTGCCAAAATGACTTTCACAATAACTGAATTCTAAACTGACAGGTGTTTTCTGAAGATGCCAATAAACAATGGAAAGTTGTCACTGTGTAAAATTGTCCCATCATTGCTGACACAACAACTGGAAAAGCAATCAGGATTCTGTTCTGCAAGGACACAGCTGCTAGAGCAGATCCATCAGATATTTGGGTCTGTACTTATGCAGATGTTTCTAGCACACATCCCTACACAGGAGAGTCACTACTTCCTTCTGGATGACACCAAGGAACGAAAAATCCTGTTTACTCATAATTAATCAAATGTACTTCATTGCGCTTAAAACCATGGAAGAGCAAATTCTCTTAAGTGTACAAAATATGTGATGCTGTGGAAGGATGAGTATCAGTCCAATGCCATCGTTGATGTCAATGGCAAGTTCATATAGTTGTGGATTCTAAGGAGTTGATTTACTAAAGGCAATTAGGCTGCTCCCTATCAATCAAGTGCAAGGAAATTAAAAAGATACATTTTTGCTTGCTCATGATTGGATAATGGAAGTCAGCAGAGCTTCAACTTATTCACTAAACTAAAGGGAAACTTCCCTTGCAAAGTGAACAAGCTATTTGCCTTTAGTAAATCAACCCCTAAATGTCTCCATTTGTATAATATTTCTACAATAATTTTGGGTTCCACCTTAATACCACGGCCATGAAAAAGTCAAGTGATGGTGTCACCATCGCTTTGTAAATCTTTATATTGTATAATACACAGAGAGCTTGAAAATTCCATTATAACATGTTCATCATGGCATACAATGGGATAGTGTGTCGATCCAAACTACTGCCGGTAAATCTCTGTCTCCTTTGAGAGATATTAAAAGTGTGCTCACCTTGCTGTGAAATATCAGGGCAGAAATGATCTTTAACTGTGCTATTTCTAGTATAATAATACTCTAATCTAGTTCAGTTCCACATGTTTGCTAAATTTATAATAATTGGGAGTGTAAAATTATGTTTTAGTAATCTTTAAAGTGACGCTATACTCAGGAGTTAAATCTTAAAAATGCATCCAAGTACCCTAACTATAAGGGCCCGTTCATACCAAATGCAGTGCGTTCCGGCCAGATTCTAGCCAGAACGCACTGCCTTGCATTGCGGCCTGCTCACTTTTTTGTGGGGCAGGAGGGGGCATGGCGGGCCCTTGAAGTGAATGACATCGTAGCCATGCCCTCCAGCCGCAATGCGATCGGCCGCATGGGATCGCAGGGCACCTTGTGCCTGCGTTCCGGTGCGATCAAAATGCTGCAAGCACTATTTTGATCGCACCGGACCGCAGGCATAATCACGGCAGTGAGCTTGGAGCGGTGACTACTTTACAACACACTTAGGGACCATGGGGAACAAAGTAGCCACCCTTGTGATCCTGTGCGTCCGATCGCATTGCGGCCGGAGGGTGTGGCTGCGGTGCCATTCACTTCAATGGCCCACCATGCCCCCTCCTGCCCCACAAAAAAGTGAGCCGGCCGCAATGCGAGGCAGTGCGTTCTGGCTAGAATTGGGCTGGAACGCACTGCAACTGGTGTGAATGGGCCCCAAACAAAAATGTATCTTATTTGTGTATCACTCAGCTGTAGATCCTCAAATCGTCTCTGAATTGGTGCCGACACTGTCCTACCTTCTGGAGGGAGGCTACTTTTGTTCCACATGTTCCCTGTGTGTGTTGTAGTCACCGCTCCAAGCTCACTGCCGTGATGGACTATAATCTCATGTTTAGTTTTCTAGTTTGTATTGAGATTGGGGTCCATCATGGGAGTGATCTTGGAGCAGTGACTACTTTACAGCACACACAGAAACCATGGGGAGCAAAAGTAGCCACCCTCCAGTAGGAAGGACAGTGTCAGCACCAATTCAGAGATGATTGGAGCATCTGCAGCCGAGTGATACAGAAATAAGATCATTTTTGTTCATAGTTAGGTTACTTGAATGCATTTTTAAGATTTAACTCCTGAGTTACGTGTCACTTTAAAATGAACTAAATCCAAAACTTTTATTCTGTTTTGTTATAACCCCTGTCATTTTTTTCTACCCTCTGTGTCCCTTTGTGGAGACTTCTCTTCACTTAATGTCTGATAGCCACAACAGGAAGTGAGAAGAAATTCCTCCAAAGAGAGAAAAATCCCTTGTGGTAAGAAGGGTCCACAAAACCAGAACCAATGTCCCAATGGAAGATTTCCCATCTATTCCTGTTCTGGTGACAACCCAAAATTTGTGATTTTCATTAATGTTCAATGATAGCGGTCCCAGGACAAATTGAGGAGGTGACTCTCCATAACGGGAATATAGAAAGCAATAAAGACCTAGAATTTAACATCCTGTCCTGCGCTCCTTCTTCAATGGGTGTCACTGTACATGTACACTGATTTTTTTTTCAGGCATACACAAGCAGGAAACTTTAAACACGACTGTTTACATACAAGTGCCCGGGCTGCTATAGAGCCACGCTTGTATGGTGCATAGGAGTGTGTGGCCTTCCCCCCTCCACCGCTGGCTATCCTGGGCTTCGCTGTCCCCGTGTGGGTCCAGGACTGGTACGGTGGGTCTGTTTACATTAATCGGAGGGAGATCAGTCCACTTCCAGCAGCTGATCTCTCCTCCGATCACTGAACCTAGAAGCGATCTGAATGACATCACTTCTGGTTTCAACATAGATATAGAAAAGAATAGAACCCAGTGTTCAGAAAAACTAATGTTAGGCTGTGGGAATCGGCAGGAACACTGGCCCCTGCAGCCAGTGGGCATCAGCTGTGACTGCTGGGAGGAGTGAAAACGAGAGCAGGGAGGGGGCAGAACAGCTCAGGTTACAGAGCGGACGATCGGTAAATATGTGAAGAACAAACACAGAGTGATCAGTACTGATCACTCAATGTTTGTAAATAACTGAGCACATAGTATTCAGATACTGTGTCCCCAATTATGAATAAACAGGAAGTGATCTATATAATTTCCTGTTCATTCATGATTGTAAGCATAGTATCTGTTTACTATCTCTTCGATTTTGATCGTGGGCATAGTATCTGTTTACTATCTCTTCGATTTTGATTGTGGGCATAGTATCTGTTTACTATCTCTTCGATTTAGATTGTGGGCATAGTATCTGCTTACTATCTCTTCGATTTAGATTGTGGGCAAAAAAAAAAAAAACAACTAAGGAAAGGTGGAGAAAAAAAAAAAGTAATTTTAAGTTTTGGCCTAACAAATTCTGGTGCGGGAGGTGCGGGAGGTGCGTTGCGGTCTTATTCATTTCAATGAACGGTTTAGTGCGGGTGTAGTGCGATTATGAGCGTTCCAGCGTGGTGTGCTTGCAAAAAATTGTGCATGCAGTTTTATTCTGAAGTAAACTTTATGTTGTAACACTCCATTTGTGCTTTATATTTTAAATAATAGATAGTAATTCATATCTTTTTATCCTATTATTTGATTAATCGGAAAAATAACAGGCCAACTAATCGATTATGAAAATAATCATTTGTTGCAGCCCTATATTTTTATTAAAACTTTAAATATAACTTGAACAGAATTTAACAACTCTGCATATGATAATGATTATGTTCCAGATACACATTGATCTGATTAAAGTTCTGTAAGACATTTTGTTTTATATCTGAATCCAGTTAGAACAATATGAAGATAATTACCAGTTCCCGTATGAGGAAAACACTCTGACAAGTAACAGGAATGAACAATACAAAGTCTACCTATTGTCTTCCTATCTGTTCCAGCAATGATTGTACATGACAGAATATAAGCACACAAAGAGGTCTGCTTATAACTAATTTACAGAGCCATTCACTATACAAATCTTTCTAAATGTTTGTTCTGTGCGAATAGACGCAAATACGTACGTTCTTAGATATATTTATTTTTTATTTATTTATTACAGGTATTTATACAGAGCCGACAATTTACGCAGCACTTTACATACTGCACATTCACATCAGTCCCTGCCCTCAAGGAGCTTACAGTCTCAGGTCCCCTTCTCACATACAGGGCCAATTTAGAGAAGAGCCAATTAACCTTCCAGCATGTCTTTGGAGTGTGGAAGGAAACCCACGCATGCACAGGGAGAACATGTAAAACTCCTTTGCAGATAGTGACCTGGCCAGGATTCATACCAGGGACCCCCAGTGCTGCAAGGCAGAAGCGCCAACCACTGAGCCACTGTGCTTTTCAGGTCAAATGTATGCTATGTAATACTGCATTTTGACCACTAGATGGAACTGGGGTGCAGGGGAAATAAGTATTTACTAGTCTCCATCTAGGGACCATAATGCAGTATTACACTACATACATCAGACAAAAATAATAACATTTGTATTTGCACCTATTCGCAGAGTGATCTTTCAGAAAGATCTGTAGGACGAATGGTTCTTCAAATTGTTTATAAACACAAACCCCTTCACATCTGAGTATGATCATGGCCTAGTATCCTTTATTTAAAGTGACCCATAATCATACAAAAAAAGAATAAAAAAAGAACGCAAAGCCATCCTGTAAAAGAAGATGTTTTAGTCTTCCCTTTCCAGCAGGTGATAAGTGGAATCTTCACCATCTAGAAGAGCTCCAGGCACCACTGCCATCCAACACTTTCAGCTGTGTGGGATATTGTGCCCCTGCTGGTCCCTGTGATTCCTCCCGTCAACCCCTATGTCACTACAGGGGACAGTAGTGATACTGGGGTCAACGGGAAGAACCACAGAGCCCAGCAGGGGGACACGATATCTGACTCAACCCAGAAGTGACGGACAGAGCAACATATGAACACACCATCCTCCTAAAAGGCATGTATACATAAATATATAGTTTTCAGTATGCTGATCGGCCTCTTTACAAGGACTGATCGCCTTCTGAAAATGTAAGCTGATAAGCTGTCATACTTATCCACTGGATTTAATATTTTGTGAGTCACTGACCCCAAATAAACCCACATAAAATTAAAGCTTAACTCCAGGCTAAGCACTTCCCCCTAAATTGGCCCCCTCCCCTCCTTGCATTAGTTTTTAGAAGCCTTTAGGCCGGTGACATGACACCTCAGGAGCCTTGTTGCCTCTCTTCTTAGTTAGGCATTTCTGGCAAATGCAAAGAGCAGCCTTGGCGTGATAACATCAGTGCCGTTCTCTGCATCAGTACACTGTGACTAAAGTGCTGCGTGGTGATACCCCCCTCGGGTGGCGGGGTGAGCATTGTACTTACAGTATGTCCTCAATCTTTCAGGATGAGCGATGTTAGGACAGCTCTGGATTTAAGGTGTGTCTTGTAATCTGAGCTGCTTTTTATTCTGCCTGTGGGACCATATAAAATGTAGTGCGGAGCTGGGCATCTCATCAGAGCTCCTTTTATTTTAGGTCAGTGTCTCAAAAAGTACTGAAGCCAGAGGATTTGCATAACAGTTAAGCAACAAGCATTTCCTTAAGACAATTGGTAATGATGGTCTCATTCATTTTATTATAGTTTTCTTTTAATTTGCAGAGAAAGGTCTGATAACTGGTCAGCCCCCTAAACACAAACCTACAGTGATCGGTCTCTAATATACAGGGGTGTCTCTACAATGCTTGCTGCCTGAGGCGAGTGGTGTTATAGGTCCGGGGATGGGGGAGATACTGATATACTCATCTGACTCCAGCTGTGGACTGTCCCTCTGCCCTGTCATGTCTAATGCAAGCAAGTAGACCTTAGACTGCCAAAACCCAGGGGAGAAGAGGCTGTGGGGACTGGTGATCAGGTGAGCATATCTTCTTTATTTGTGTCCCTAGACCAGAATGTGTAGCGGTATTGCAGTGCAGTGTAGGGGAACCCCTATTCCAGGGTGGGGGGTAGCCTTAGTTTTTAAATTTTTATAAGTTTTAAAAGCAAATTGTTGCATACAAGTTCCAACATGTGTGTGGAGTGAGCAGATAGTATGTATTGGTCTAGTAGGGTAGACATCGTTTTACTCACTACTGTCTATAAATAAGGATTTATGGGCCTCTACTAGGGGTGCACCGAAATTTTGGCCGCAAATGGGACTCTTGGCAAAATGCTGAAAGTGCCATTTTTCTGCCGAAATAGCAGCGCATTCTTGGTTTCTTTCCTCCCTGCTGGGCGCTGCTCTGTGTGGAGGAGAGCGTTGTGAGCAGCCGGCGTCTTTCCTCCTCGCACCGCTCAGCCTCTTGTGACAGATCGGGAGAGTGGTGGTGTAGGCGGAGACAGCTGTCAGCTCTCACAGGAGGCTGAGCTCTCCTTCCGAACCGCCAGCTTATCCTCCTGTGACAGCGAGTTAGAATGGAGAGCGGGTACAAGCACTCAGCGATCAGTGATAATAAATAATAAATGAGGACATGGTATGGTTACTATATCCTCAATTATGAATGATCTACATCACCTCCTGTTCATTCATGATTGTGGATATAGTAAACACACAATGTTCTCATGTTATGAATGAACAGGAAAACTCAGTATAGAGGATTCCTGTTCATTCATAACAGGGGATGCAGAAAAAAAATTTGAGGACTCTGTGTCCTCAATCTCTTTTTCTATTTTAAAAGGGAAATATCAGGGGTCTGTTTAGACCCCCAATATTTCCCCGAAGCCCCCAACAGTAAAGTATAAAAATATTTAATAAAAATACATAAATACAAATTAAAATATTGAAACAAATTTGAAAAAAAAACATTTTCGGTTTTGACCTGACATTTATTTTAACTTCGGTTTTGAATATTTCATTTCGGTGCACCTCTGGTCTCTACTCCGCACCATATTTCATGGTCCACCCATATTTTGGATGTAAAATGGAACCATGGTGCCATTCCGCAAGCCCCCCTCAACCCTTCTTAACACTTACCTAAATCGTGGGGTGCTTTTACCGGCAGGCTGCTGGGTATGTTTAAATTTGGAACAGCTGTATCATTTATTCACAGATCCATCACACAAACTGTGAATGGAAAAAACGACATGAATGACATGACATCACTGCACCTGTAGTCCAATAATAGAATGTCTGTATCTCGGTACAGACCTGGGGCTTGAGGAGTAGTCTGCAGGAGCCTGTGCATTGCACCTGTGATCGTGGTTCCACTACTGAGCAAGCTCCAAAGCAAAAAATTAATAAAACACAAATTTTTTTCTTCTTTTTGCAGCATGGGTGCAATTATTAATGTTTTTGCAAAATGTGGACTATGCCTTTAAGCATCTGATATTTTGTACTTGTGTTGCAATGTGACTGCTACAAATAGGAAACAAGAATACACTCACTGCTATATAATGACTCTGATAACATGCATGTATAACTGTTCCTGCAAGCACCAGTACATAGTATTATTAATAATAATAATAATAATAATAATAGACTGATCACCATCTCAGACACACTCTGACCTGAATGATGGTAGAGAATAATAAACCATATGATAGAAATACAAATCCCTGTGATGATAACCCCCTGGGGTGGTCATGCAGTATACAGGAATGAGATCGGTGTCCCCCGCACGGTTCCCCGGACACTTACCATACGGATCTGGGTGCTGATCAGGATGTACGGCATGATGAGCTCTGTCCTGTCCACTCCTCTCGGCTGTCACTCCTCCAGATCACAGCTCTCTGCAGATGTGACCTTCGGCATTCCTGACACGCCCCCGCCCACCAGCCAATCACTATGCGCAGATCTGCATGTCGTCACGGGGGCGTTTCCGGAAGTATCAAAGCTGGGATTTTAACACGTGTGTGTTTGTGTTGAGAGGGAGAATCCGGGGAGAGATGTCTGAGTGATGGATCTGTGTGATATACAATATGTGCAGACGTTGTGGGGCTTGAGACTGATCCTAAAGCTGAGAGGATCTGTTTGTGTCATTGTCATCACAAATGCAGGCACCTATGGTGAGGTGGTGGAAGAGAGGAAGTCAGATTGCTTCTGCCTGAGTTCCCCATCATATCTGACCTTATTATTTATTACTATACAGGAGATATATTTAGTGCTAACAGTTTGTGCAGCACTTTACAATGTATAGAAGACATAATTACAATAAAATTGAAGACAAGATGGTGAGGTGGGCCCTGCCCATGAGGGCTTAAAATCTAAAGATGTTATTAGATCCTAGTTTGTGGGATTCTGTATATTAATACAAAGTTCCACCTTTTGCAGAAAGTTAATTAATACACGCACATTATTTAAAAAAAAGTATGCTGCAGTGCCGTCCGTCCGTTTTTTTACTACGGGCGGACGGCAAGAGGTTAAAAGAGAAGTATTGGGAGAGTAAAATGTGCTCTTCCGGGTTCTTTGAGCCCACGTGTGACACTGCGGCTGTCACATTCCGCCTCTATAGATCGAGAGGTCGCTCAGTTCACAATCTTGTCAGGGTTTCTTTCCCTTCCTTGTCCAGTTGAGCTGCAGCATGCCTTGTGTGCTGTGTCTCTGACACTGTTTCTCTTTGGAGCCCTCTTATGACCAAACCAGTAAACATCATCATTCTGCAACTACTACCAAACTCCTGCAAATTCCTGTCTCAGGGTGATGATGCAAACACCATTTCACTATTTAACCAGGAGATTGTCCATTTAGTTACATAGTTACATAGTATTTGAGGTTGAATAAAGACATTAGTCCATCAAGTCCAACCTATTAGGATCTCATTCTAGGAGTACCTGTACCCCTGTATATTACGGTCCCTTAAGAAATCGTCCAAAAGTTTCTTGAACAATTCCACATTATTTGCTGAAATCACCGCCTGTGGCAGTGAGTTCCAGACCCTAACTGATCTTACTGTGAAGAACCCCCTTCGCCCCTTGTGCTGGAATTTTTTTTCCATCAATTTTAGGTGATGGCCTCTAGTTTTTGTAACGGAGTTAATTTTAAACAGTTTATCGCTAATGTTGCTACCACCATTAAACATTTTGTACATAGAAATCATATCCCCCCTCAATCTCCTCACCTCCAATGTGAACATGTTTAAATTTAGTAGCCTCGTCTCGTAGCTCTGGTCCTCCATACCCCTAATTAGTTTGGTTGTCCTTCGCTGGACTTTTTCCAACTCAAGGACATCTTTTCTTAGTACTGGTGACCAGAACTGGACCGCGTACTCCAGATGAGGTCGAACCAATGATCTATATAGTGTCCGCCCTTGCATGTGTTCTGATCTACCAAGTGTTCTGCTAATGTTCCTGTTCTCTGGAGGAAGTAAACTATGGACTACAAGTGTGGCGACATTGTGCTTTATTAAGATCTTGTGGCAGGTGGGACTTGTAGTCATTCCATTCACAGATCTCTGTGAATGGATGATGCCGCTGTGTCTGTTATATGGTACCCTGACAGTACTTGACATGACTCCTATTGCCGCCTTTCCCTAAAAATTCTGGTACTTGTAGGTTGTGAGGAAGTACTGGACATGACTCCTTTTGCTGCCCTTCCATAAAAATCCTGGTACTTGTAGGTTGTGAGGAAGTACTTGACATGACTCCTATTGCCGCCCCTCCCCTAAAAATCCTGGTACTTGTAGGTTGTGAGGAAGTACAAGACATGACTCCTATTGCCGCCTTTCCCTAAAAATTGATGATTATTCTAGCTTTAGTGACCGAATAATCAGGATTTTATTAAAGACAGGAGGCGAATATGTAGGTTGTGAGGAAGTACTGGACATGACTCCTATTGCCGCCGTTCCCTAAAAATCCTGGTACTTGTAGGTTGTGAGGAAGTACAAGACATGACTCCTATTGCCGCCATTCCCTAAAAATCCTGGTACTTGTAGATTGTGAGGAAGTACAGTGGTACCTCGGTTCACGAATTTAATTCTGGTCGCGAACTGATTTGGTCGTGAACCGAATCAAACTGTGATCACACCGCGTTCTCCACTATAGGAAGCCATGAACATGTGTCATAGCAGGGAAAATGGCTGCGATTCTGTTCGTCAACCGGAGTTCGTGAACGGAGGCAAAATTCTGCCGAACTTCCTGTTCGCGAACAGAAGCGTTTGTGAACTGAGGTACCACTGAACTTGACATGACTCCTATTGCTGCCTTTCACTAAAAATCCTTGTACTAGTTGTGAGGAAGCACTTGACATGCAATATGCCTACCCGCAATGTAGTGCTTGGGACTTGTGTGGCCAATTAAAATGCATCAGTGCTATTACATGGTGGAAACCCCATTCCCTGTGCAATTGCTGGCAATGCTAGATATTGTGGATGATTTCAGCGACTTTGCAGAGGTGAAGGCAGTAGAAGTAAGAATAATCAATGGAGGGTGCTTAGGGCTGTGTAGGTTGGGAACTTTTTATACTCTGACAGGGAGTAATAAAGCGCGCCATAGGACTCTTGGCTCTAAAATAAAGCACGCCATAGGACTCTTGGCTCTATTTGTCACTAAGATACATGCAGCAAAGATATGAAGAAAGTACAATTAGCACTATTATACTTCATGAATGGATTAATTAATTGAAAACATGTCATCAGTTTTCCTATTTGTTGGAAACCCCTCCACATCAGCTGTATGAAAGTACTCCTCTGTACCAGGGCCAAAGCTAGGGGGAGGGCATGTGCCCTGGGTGCCACTTTAGGAGGGGCGCCACTGGGTGTGTGGATGGAGAACTTCTCTTTTGGGGGGGATTCTGACGGAATGTCTAGCTTCCCCACTGCTCTGTACTTGCAGCTCTTTCCCAGAATATTGAATTAAACTGAGCCAAAAAATATGATAAAGAGAGAACACACATAGTGTAGCAATCCAGCCATATTTTCTAAATTAAAAAAAGAGTAAAGTGCAAACTTTAACAAGGAGGAAAATGTAGTCAATCAGTGGAGCACTGCAGTCCTCGGTTCTAATCCCAGCCAGGACACTATCTGCATTGAGTTTGCGTGTTCTCGCTGTTTCCGCCACACTGAAAATACATGCGGCTAGGTTATTTGGCCCTAGTGTGCATGTGAGATAGAGACCTTAGATCAGGGTTCAAAATTTAAAGTCCTGAGCTACTAGCCAGGCCTTAAAAGTTACTCGCCGCCAGTTGCCTCACCTAACCCCTGCCCCTGCCTTAACTCCGCCAGGTCAGCGGTGTGACGTCGAGTACAGAGATCAGTAACAACGGACAGTACAGAAGTCAGTGGTGCAATGCTGTATACAGAAGTCAGGTTTGTGACGCACAGTGCAGAAATCAATAACAACGCAGAGGCCAGCGGTGTGACGCACAGTACAGAGATCAGCAGTACAGAGGTCAGTAATGTAACGCACAGTACAGAGGTCCGTAATGTAATGCACAGTACAGAGGTCAGCAGTATAGAGGTCAGTGTGATGCACAGTACAGAGGTCAATGTGACGCACAGTGCAGAGGTCAGTGTGACGCAACGGTCAGTGTGACGCACAGTACAGAGGTCAGTGTGACACACAGTGCAGAGGTCAGCGGTGTAAGGAAGAAAGAAAAGGGACTTACAGTGCACTTAGCTGATGGTATTCAGGTGCCCTCTTCTTTCTCCTGGTGGTGAGGGGGGGGGGGGGGACAGAGATCCTCCATCCTCTTTTCCCGCACTGAATAACTTTCTGGCCAGGTGTCTCACTGTCTCTGCAGTCTTCCTCCCAGCCTATGGCAGCTGAGATGGGCGGAGGAAGCTGCAGAAGACAGCCGAACTGAATGTCATCGAGGGGGTGCGCCGCCGACAGGACCAGGGATGGGACACTACCGTCGCGGCGATTGCTCACTTCTGTTCCCTCTTCTCCTCGGTCGCTCTGTAGCTGCAGCTATAGAGGAGGACTGAGAGAGAACAGAAGCGAGCAATCGCCGAGGTGGTAGTGTCCCATCCTTGGTCCTGACGGTGGCACAACCCCTCGATGACATTCCACTCGCCCCCACGCAATTGTCACTCGCCAATTGCGAGGGGGCGAATGGAAATTTGGAGGCCTGCTTTAGATTGTAAGCTTCTTATTTAAAGCGCAGTGTAAATTAATGGTACTATATGAATAGCTGTAATAAATAAAAGGAGGTCTGGCAGGCAGTGGGGTTAGAACGGCATGCTCAATCTAATTTACTATATATGCTTTCCCCCTGATAAAGCTTGTGAAGAGGGAAAGCGGTACAAACAGGTCATAGTCCATCATGTCCAAAACAGATTTATTAATCTCTAAAAAAGGGCAGCCAACCCACTTCAGGGGGTCTCAACTCTCCCTTCTGGGCTAAAAAACTAGACATTGTAAAAATAGTATATAAATCTACAGATAACCTGTTAAGTAATTGATTAAATATACAAAAAAATATTTTAAAAGATCCCATCTAATACATGCTTTTTGTTTTGTAAGTCATTGCCCGTAATTATGTTGAAAGATATTACCTGAATAAGAGAGAACTAAAATATATAACTTTCATAACGTATAAAATTGTGATATGTAGGATATCTAAAATATATATATATACACACACTATATTGCCAAAAGTATTGGGACGCCGGCCTTTACACGCACATGAACATTAATGGCATCCCAGTCTTAGTCCGTAGGGTTCAATATTGAGTTGGCCCACCCTTTGCTGCAATAACAGCTTCAACTCTTCTGGGAAGGCATCCACAAGGTTTAGGAGTGTGTTTATGGGAATGTTTGACCATTCTTCCAGAAGCGCATTTGTGAGGTCAGGTACTGATGTTGGACATGAAGGCCGGGCTCGC